AGCCTTTTCTTAATCCATTATTTCATTTCATTCTTTTCTCAAGTCTGCAAAGTAACTATGATTAGACCATGGACTTTACATGTCCTCTTTGATTTAATACTTGCCATGACCTTGTGAGGTAGGGACTATTTGTTTAGAGCTGAGAGATGAACAAACTGCCGCAGTCACACAATTAATGGTGGCAACAGTTTGTACTCAGGCCTCCCTGAAGAGCATGAGATGGATGTACTTGTGACTTTTGTAAGGCAAAACTTTGCCTCCAAGCCTAATTTGTTTCATCAGTCCAAATACCCCTAGCAGAAGCCTGAGGATCTGTAATACACTACGTGGTGCAGGTATTACCTTTCTCATTAATTTGATGGGGCAAGAGGCCAAACAAACAAAAAACTGTTGCTGGCATCTCAATGGTCTGCTTTACTCAGCAATCAAGATGCTGTGTCCCCAACTGATAGAACATATCTTAGGTTCCAGCCACTCTGAAATTGAGGGCTTGTTCTAGGATTTCCATGACTCGGCAGGACAGAATTTGTCCTTTATCAGGAACAAAATGGTAAGGCATCAACAAAACTATTACTAGGATTAGAGAAACAAATGTATTCATTAGATTCTCTAAAATAGCTCAGTCACAAATCCTAGCGTATGGCATAAAACTAGGACTCAAAAACCTACCACACGCACACACACACACACACACACTTGATCCTCCCAGAGAGTGATGAAATTCATTTAATTGACCATTAAACTGTGTGTAGCATGTGGTCCAATCTGGTTCAGCATAAGCACTCAATAAATATTTGTTGAGTGAATTCCTAAAATCTATACATTAGTATAATTAATAAATCTATTAAAAGATCTTTATTTTTTTAAGATTTTATTTATTCATTTGACAGAGAAAGAGAGCACAAGCAGGGGGAGCGGCAGGCAGAGGGAGAGGGAGAAGCAGACTCCTTGCTGAGCAAGGAGCCCAATGCGGGACTCGATCCCAGGACCCTGGGATCATGACCCGAGCCGAAGGCACATGTTTAGCCAACTGAGCCACCCAGGCATCCCTAAAAAGATCTTTAGAATGTTTTAGAACTTCACTATCCAATACAGTAGTCACTATCCACATGTGGCAATTGAATACTTGAAAAGTGACTAGTCCAAATAGAGATATGGGATAAGTACAAAATTCACAGTGGATTTTAAAGACTTAATTAATACAAAAAAAGAGAGAGTATTTTGGATATATTGTGTTAAATAAAGTATATTACTAAACATAATTTCACCTGTGTTAAATGTGGCTACTAGAGTATTTAAAATTACACATGTGGCTCACATTATATTTTGATTGGACAGCACTGCTCTAAAAGGCAGAATAAACTTCAGGGGGAAAAATTGTTCTTAAAGGAGAGGGCAAGCCATTAATCAATTACACTTTCCATACTTTTCACCTTGAATTTATTGAGAAATCATAGGTTTCTTCAAAGGCCAACTTCTCCCATGGCAAACAAAGGGCATCAGGATTCTATCAAGGTCAGAGGGGCACACTGGCAGCTCATAGGCTAGAATGTGGCTTGCAATTATGGTTGACAGAGTAATTTTCTTAAAAACTGAATAAGTTATCACCATTTTATTTTATTTTTTATTTTTTTAAAGATTTTGTTTATTTATTTGACAGAGAGACACAGCGAGAGAGGGAACACAAGCAGGGGGAGTAGGAGAGGGAGAAACAGGCTTCCCACTGAACAGGGAACCCGTTGCGGGGCTCGATCCCTGGACCCTGGGATCATGACCTGAGCCGAAGGCAGACGCCCAACGACTGAGCCACCCAGGCGCCCCAGGTATCACCATTTTAAAATGAGATTTCATATGCAGCTCCAAATTTGTAGGTGCCCCCTTTTTTTTTTAATTTAAATTTTAGGTAGTTAACATAGAGTGCAATATTGATTTCTGGAGTAGAATTCAGTGATTCATCACTTACATACAACACCCAGTGCTCATCACAGCAAGTGCCCTCCTTAATAACCATCACCCATCTAGCCCATCCCCCATCCACATCCCTCCATCAACCCTCAGTTTGTTCTCTATCGTTAAGTCTCTTATGGCGGGATGCCTGGGTGGTTCAGCTGGTTAAGTGTCTGCCTTCGGCTCAGGTCATGATCCCAGGGTCCTGGGATGGAGTCCTGCATGGGGCTCCTTGCTCAGCGAGGAGCCTGCTTCTCCCTCTGCTTCTCCTCCTGCTTGTGCTCTCTCTCTCTCTCTCCGACAAATAAATAAACCCTTTAAAAATGAAGAGTCTCTTATGGTTTGTTTCTCTCTCTCCTTTTGTTCTTTCCCCCCTTCCCATATGTTCCTTTGTTTTCTTTCTTAAATTCCACATATGAGTGAGATCATATGGTATTTGTCATTCTGATTTATATCACTTAGCATAGTACATTCTAGCTCCATCCACATTGTTGCAAATGTCAAGATTTCATTTTTTTTTTATGGCTGAGTGATATTCCACTGTGTGTGCGCCTGTGTATGTGTGTATATATATATCTCACATCTTCTTTATTCGTCAGTCGATGGACATTTGTAGGTTAAGTGTCCAACTCTTGGTTTTAGCTCAGGTCATGATCTCGTGGTTGTGAGATGGAGCTCCACTCAGTGCAGAGTTTCTCTCTCCCTCTCCCTCTGCCCCTCTCCACAGCACATGTTCTCTCTCTCTCAAATAAATAAGTAAATCTTTTAAAAAATTTTTAAAAAAATAAAAATGAGAAGTTCTAGGGGCCTGGTTGTCTCTGTCAGTAGAGCATGTGACTCTTGATCTCAGGGTCATGAGCTCAAGCCCCAAGTTGGGTGAAGAGCTTACTTAAAAAAATAAAATAAAATAAAATAAAGGTATTACCTATAAAAAGCAATGGGAAGTTCTAGCAATACTGGTCTTACATGGAAGCCATCAGCTACAGCTAAAAAGCAGAAACTACCTTTGGACAGAGAATGGACTCTCCTGTTTGCCATACTGTATTCTCTACACTGAGGCAAATTCTTACTTGGTAGAGTTAAAAAAAGAAAGTATAATATTCCTTGTAACCATGTCTTAATTCAAAGAAAACAGAAAAGTAGACTAAGAGGGTGTATATTTCTTTGAGGAAGTGAAGAACATTCCATGGTGTCTAATACAACTACAAAGTTTGTCTCTTGAAGGAATATATCTTAAATCAGAATTATGCAATAACTCCAGAGGGTGTATGATTTTGCAATCTCTCATCTAGTTTGGCTGGATCCAACATTATCCAAGATGTTGAATAGTACCAGGTCTCCTTTGGGGTTTGAGTTGATGTAAAGTCACATCTGTTTGCCTCCAGATTTACATTAAAGATCTAAGAAAAATCCCAAGGTATTGTTATGCAGTTCGTGCAGACCTGATTAAGACCTACAGGATACAGGCCTGAAAGTAGTGCCCTTCCATCCCTTAATGTAGTCCTCACAGAACTTCAGCTTTCAAAGCACCTCCTGTCCTGTCTTGCCTGATGAACCCTGTGGGTAGGGGTGGAATTCCACAGATGGGGGAAGCAGAGTGACTTCCTAGGTACATAGGTAGTCTGCGAAAAGCATACACTAGACCCAGACCCCTCTGTCTTCTTGAGGCCTTCTGGAGGGTGATGATGGGAGACAACAAGTGAAATTGAGAGAGAACTAAACAGAGGTGGCAGTTTGAAGAGACAAAGAAAGTGCAAAGGAAGTCAGACAGTGAAGGGTGGAAATAATGCAGTGGAAAGGGTGAGGGCCTGCCTCCAAGGAGAATGAGCCGAGGCAGGGTGTCAGTGGCTTTGGGGGAACCTCATTCCACCAATGGCAAAATGGAGCCGAGAGAGGAAGTGGTTTGCCCAAGGATGTCCAGCACTTTGCCAGGTGGGCACTAGACCCTGAACCCAAGTACCCCAATCCCAGTCCAGGATCTTCCTTCAGCCTATCACAGGGAGGACGGGCCAATGGGCCTGAGGCAGGTAGGAGCAGAATTGCCACCTGGGTGGAAGGAAAGCTCTGCCCAAGGCTGGTAGCGCCATTAACCGTCAAAGACTCAAGTAGCCAAGTCCCTACAATCCTAGCAAGCGACTTTGAAGCCCCGATTTTCATGTGGCTGAGGCCTTTCACAACTTCTAGCTCAAGGCGGCATGAGAAATACCCGACCGCTATTCAGGGGCTTTCGGAATCTCCTGAGAGATGATCAGGCGCTTTTGCAAACGTCATGGAAGGAATCAAACATCAAACAGCCGATATTTTGGAAGGGCCACAATCTCCCAAGAAATATTCTGGAATATTGGGGCGCTTGGGTGGCTCAGTCGGTTAAGCGTCTGCCTCTGGCTGGGGTCGTGATCCCAGTGATCCCAGGGCCCTGGGATGGAGTCCCCTATCGGGCTCCCTGCTCAGCAAGGGGTCTGCTTTCCCTGTCCCTCTGCCCCTCCCCCTGCTTGTGCTCCCTCTCTCTCTCTCTCAAATAAATAAATAGAATCTTTAAAAAAAAAAAGAAATATTCTGGAATATTGGAGACTATGAGAAAATGGTTAGGAAGCAGGCGAAATCTGCCGATTGGCATTCGGAAATTTCCGGAGCTTCTCGAGGAGCACTCGGGAGCTCTCGCCTCTGCGATCTCTTGGGAGTCTAGGGTCTCTACAGATCCCCTCTTCGCCTAAATCCTTAAAGGCGACTGATACCACAGTCCCTCGGCAATTTCCGGAAGTGTTCGGGATTGGCCCGAGCGTGGCGCCCTCTGACGGCGGGAACTGTCACCACGAGCACCCCTCCGGGCTGCGCCCGCACTCGCAGACGCAGTTGCACGCCGGCGGCCGTTCAGACCGGATGTGGTTGCTGCTGAGGTCACTTCCGGCGGGTGACGGTGAGGACGGGTCAGAAGCGTAGAGGCGGCGGCAAAATGGCGGCGCCTGAGGAGCGGGATCTAACCCAGGAGCAGACAGAGAAGCTGCTGCAATTTCAGGTAGCAGCGAGTACTCGGTGCAGCAAATGCCGCCACGGGCTGGGGAGTGGGCCCTCGGAGGAGCCCAGAACCCTTCTCAGATTGGGCCCGAGATTCTTCTCAGACCAGCGGCGGCCCCCTCCCCCCCAAACGCCAACTGCCCTGCTACTCCCAGCTCCCGAGCCTCTGTCAGGTCCCCCGCCTTCCCGCCAGGGTTGCGGCCCTCTCCTCTCCTCTCAGCGGGTCAGCTTCCCTGGTTTCCCTTAGCCGCACCCGTCCTCAACCATTCTTCCCAGACCGGTTACCCGTTGGACCCTTTCCGCCCTTCGACTCTAGATTTACCGAGATGCTTAATCCCCACCGCGGAGCTGGCCTAATTTCGGGTCTCTGGAAAACCTACCAGCATCCCATGCTGTTTATACAAATATTTATGGAAGGCCTCTTGGGTGCCTGGTCCTGTATTGGGCGCTCTGGTGGGGGAGGGGGCGGAGGTGGCCCCCACCCTAAAGGTGTGGGAGGACACCCCATAAGGAAACAATGCAAGTTTTAAGTGTCATCAGTGGCTTCTGACGGGGTTTTTTTTTTACCCTGGGCTTATTCCTGGACTCACGTTCTTGACAGTGCTTGAGGTGGGTGGTAACTTGCAGAAATCTGCTTCCTTTTAGTGGTTGTGTTAAGAACTTTTGGCACTAAGCACTTATTTCTGAGTTGGAGAGTGATTGGAGGAGACCCCTAGGGTGGGTAACCTTGACTCTTTATTACCCTAATGGGTACCAGTTTCCTTATTTCTAAAATACTTCTCTTAAAAAACGTCTGTCCCCTAAGGATATTGTGGAGATCAAATGAGTTTATGGACGTATGAAGGGCTTGTAAACTGAAATGTTTATTCCCAAGCGCTATCGCTACTATTAATCATGATTTCATTTAGGATAGAATTAAAGTTAGTGGTACACTTATTTCCTAATATAAAATGTGCTCAACATTCATTAATTCAACATTATTTACCACGAACTTTAGTGTTCGGGCACTGCTAGTTCAAATGCCATTTATTGAGTACTTATCATGTTATAAGTACTTTGTAAACACATAGCAGACATGATCGCATTTAATGTAACAACCCTATGAGACTCATGCTGTTACAATCCTTATTTTACAGATGAGGAATGTGAGGCTTAAGAAGTAACATAGTTAGGTTACACAGCCAGTTAAGTGGTGGTATCGGATTTAAAGCCAGATCCATCTTTCCAGAACCTTTCCTGAGCTCTTGACTTGTGTGCTCTACCACCTGTGTAAATATCAGTATACAGCTGAGAGTGGAATGCAAATGTTGTGATACTAAGTCTTTTTTTTTTTTTTTAACAAGTTATCACTTTTCTGTACTTTCCTTGATTAGATTTCACTATAATCTGAGGTGGGGTTTTCTTTAAATTGAGCAGTGGGTTGGAAGTGTATAAATGGAAAAATACTATTATAGAAATAGTTGACATTTGATTGGAGTTTTGAGTAAAGAAATTGAGGACACAGCAAATTAGGATCAGAGTGAATCAACAGCAGACAACCAGCCTCCTCTTCCTGGTAGACCACTTATTTCAGAGTTTTGTTTAATTTGGCAGACCATTTTACTCCTTACAGCTCTTTAGGGGTAAGCGTGATGTGAGTTATATGTCATGATGTACTTAGTTTGATACTGGGAAGACATGAATATGTGGTGGTATTTCTGAGGTGAAGTACATGGGTACCTCCATTTTTTCTTCATCGACATTTATATCAGTAAGAGGTGAGTGGTAGGTTAAGATTGTATTAAGATTGCTTTGTGAGGGGTGCCTGGCTGACTGAGTCAGTAGAGCATGTGACTCCTGATCTTAGGGTTGTGAGTTCAAGCCCCACGTTGAGCATAGAACTTAAAAAAAATCCTAAAAAAGCAGATTGCTTTAGGAAATTGGATTTACCAAGGCAAATGCATTTTCCATTTATGTGTTCCTTCAGCAGTTGCTGGATCAGGTTCATCATTCAGTTGCCATTGAACATTCTTTGAAACTTACTAGGTGTCAAGCATTATACCAAGTATTTAATGTACCTTAACTCTTCTAAACCTCTTAATAACATTGTAAGGAATTAACTCATTCATTTTGTTAATGAAGAAACAGGTTCTGAGAGGTCAAATCACTCACACAAGTAGTTAAGTGGCAGAGATTTAGAAATCCATACCCATAACCATCTTAGCTATAACCTATTGGAGAAGCAAGATACATACATACATAAATGAGTATCCTGCAATATATTAGTGTTCATAGTGTAATATGGTATAAACAAAGTGCTGTGGGAATTTAGGGAAGGATAGGAGTATCCACGGAGGTGGGAAGAGAAGAGAAGGATGACTTAGGGGTTAACCATTCATTAAGTATCTACTATGCCTTAGGCATGGTGCTAGATAGGTAGTTTATAACTATCATGCTTAATTCTCACAGAAGCCTTATAAAGTGCCATAGATGATAATAGCTGCCCCTAAGTGAGGAAACAGATTTATTGAAGTATTTGCCTAAGTTCATTAAGTTCCTAAATAGTGAGGATGGAATTGGAATTAGAAACCTAGTGGGTCTGGATCAGGCTTTAAGGCTGGGCTCTTTCCACTGTACTTTGCTAGTTTTGAAGGAGGAATAGAACTTCAACAGGTGGTAGGCAGAAGGATGCTGAAAGCTGAGGAAATGGCTTGAGCAATGTATGAAGATGGAAGAGTGTGGAGTGTTTGTTGTGATGGATTTAGAGAATTTAGAGAAGTGGTAAATAGGATTGGATAGGTAAATTAGAGCCAGATTTTAGAGGCCTTTCAAAGCTGTGCAGAATGGTTTAAATTTTAATCTGTACTCGTAGGGAGCTATCAAAGGTTTTTTTCCACTAGAGAGTAGCATAACACTAGGTTTCAGGTTTGCTTCACTAACAGTATGAAGCATGTGCTTGGAATATCCATAGGAGTCAGGACAGAACTGGGTGGTACTGCTAGGAACTAGTTCTCAATATGTTGCTTCATTTGATACATTGAAATTAGCAAAAGTAAAATATTTTAGAAATCTTAGGTTTCCTCTATTTCACTTTTATTTATTTTTTTAAAAGATTATTTATTTATTTATTTATTTGAGAGAGAGAATGAGATAGAGAGCATGAGAGGAGGGAGGTTCAGAGAGAGAAGCAGACTCCCTGCCGAGCAGGGAGCCCGATGCGGGACTCGATCCTGGGACTCCAGGATCATGACCTGAGCCAAAGGCTTAACCAGCTGAGCCACCCAGGCATCTGCTCTATTTCACTTTTATTGTGACATGTGATTTGACTGGAACTCCCTAGAGTATATTTATCATGCTTCTCAGTCCATTTGATGTTTTCTAAGACTTTTCTAGTTATCCTTTTCTCCTGTTTATTTTGGAACCAATTGAGTATGAATAGTGAACGCGCAATTTGTTTTAAGCTGTTTCAAATGGAAGAGAATGGGTCTTAAGAAGAGTTAATGCAGAGATGCCTGGGTGACTCAGTTAAGTGTCTGCCTTTGGCTCAGGTCATGATCCCAGGGTCCTGAGATCAAGTGCCGCTTTGGGCTCCTTGCTCAGTGAGGAGCCTGCTTCTCCTTCTGCCTGATGCTCCCCCTGCTTGTACGCTCTCTCTCTCTCTCTCTCTCTCTCTCTGACAAATAGATAAATAAAATCTTCAGGGAAAAAGAAGAGTTAATGCAGGGGAGCGTCTAGGTGGCTCAGTCGGTTAAGTGTCGGCTAAGTGTCTGCCTTCGGCTCAGGTCATGGTCCTGGGGTCCTGGGATCAAGCCCCACGTCAGGCTCCCTGCTCAGCAGGGAGTCTGCTTCTCTCTCTCTCCCTCGGCCCCTCTCGTGCTCTCTCTCGGTCTCTCTCAAGTAAATAAATAAAATCTTAAAAAAAAAAAAAGAATGAAGGTATGGGTGAGGTTACTTTTACTGAAGTCCATTTTCCCAAATTTCCAAATATAACAGACTCCCCTAGTGCCTTGGTTTACTGCTTCTAGGTTGCTGTTTGAACCCCTGGAGAAAGATGACATGGCCAGAGAGAAGGGACTAAAGGAGCTATATGCATGGCCAGTGGAGGAAGAAATGATCCCTTTCTACTTTTTGTACAGATGTAAGAAATTTCTTTCCTTTTAAATGAATATTAGGGTGTGTGATCTTTGTTCTTTTAAATTATAGAAAGTTAAGCCTGAACTCTGGGCTGTAGAATCAGGTTTATAATTCACTTTGAAAATCTCTCTTTTTGGCTTCATCTGACTCTTTATTACCTAAAAGAAAAAGAATAACATGATGGTCTTTGTTCACGTATTTTTAAAAAATCAGAGTGATCTGTTTGAATTTTTTGCCCTGGAATTTGGTATTGTAGGAAAACCGTGAGCTTTGAAACTTGGGGCAAACCTGAATTAGCCTTTCAACTTAGCTTCTCATGAATTCTGTGACCTTGGGCATGTTCCCACTTTCTTGAATTCCCCCCCCCTATAAAATGGGGATACTATTACCTAATTCACAGTGGTTTTTATTTTTTACTTAAAAAATCTACCAATACCAAGTAATGCATACTTTATGCAAGTCAGTAACGTAAAATTGTAAAAGTGTAATTAAATTTCATCTTATTCCCCCCTCCTCATTCCCAGTTTGTTGTGTGTCTTTGTATACTTTTTTCTTCTGCATATACAGATACACATACTTAATGTGTAAGCTCTCTTACCCTTCACTTGACTGATTAGTTGGAGCAGATGGCTTCCAGTTCCTAAGATCTGCTCTGTAATATGTCCAAGTATTTTTGCTTTCACCAGTTGAGTTGTACTCTTGACAAAAGTCAGTTGTATTTTTTTTTAATTTTAAGATTTTATTTATTTGTTTGACACAGAGAGAGAGAGAGAGAGCAGGGGGAGCAACAGAGGGAGAGGGAGAAGCAGGCTCCCTGCTGAGCAGGGAGCCCGACGCGGGGCTCCATCCCAGGACCCCAGGATCATGACCTGAGCCGAAGGCAGACCTTAACGAATGAGCCACCCAGGCGCCTCAAAAGTCAGTTGTATTTGCTCCCAAACCATTGTGTGCTGGTTATATTTGTCATAAAAATAAAATACATAAACCATCAAAATATCAGTGCAAGAGTTTTTATCTGAAAACTAAATTACATGCTTTGGAAAAGGTCTTTAGGGTCAAGTTGCTGGAAAATTGTTATTCAGTTAGGTGTAGGCAAGATAGGTGTAAAGGTGACTTCGGAAAAAAATCATTAAGATTTAGTATTGTGCACTTAATGCTTGGCAAGTGCTTAGAGTTCTTGCACTCCAAGAAATTAAGTCAGTGTCTTATGGATATGGTTTATGCTAGAAAGACTCCAAAGAATGTTGGTGGACCCATGCCCAAAAGAAAAGGGTAGGCTTTCATCAAAAGATTGCTGCATAAATGTGTATGCTTCATGCTTTAAATGAAATATGTAAGTAATGTGTGGAATGTTTTTATTCTTCATCTTAAGTGACTTTTTAAATTAATTGACCAGTAAGTCTTATTCTCATTGGGTAAGAGCTTCTGCTGTCTTTGTCTTTAATAGAGGTAGGATCATATAATTATGAAAGTCAGCGTAGCATAGTAACTTGTCA